AAATAAATAAATAAATAAAGGGCCGGGCAGTCAGAACCATCATCTTATCCCACTGCCAGATACTCTAAGTTTGTGAGACATACCTCCTTCAAAAGGCTGCAGGTTCTGTGCATACTTGTACTAGATAACTGAACAAGTCACAGTACACTGGCATTTGAAGGGACTGTATCTCACACAGCTGTGTAAACAATATGTCCTATTAATAAATAAATAAATAAAGGGCCGGGCAGTCAGAACCATCATCTTATCCCACTGCCAGATACTCTAAGTTTGTGAGACATACCTCCTTCAAAAGGCTGCAGGTTCTGTGCATACTTGTACTAGATAACTGAACAAGTCACAGTACACTGGCATTTGAAGGGACTGTATCTCACACAGCTGTGTAAACAATATGTCCTATTTGCCTACATTCCCAGGCCTTAGCAAGAATGTGTAACCTGTCTCTCACTTTCATACACAGAACTGTAACTATGATCAGCATATCTAATTGGCCACTGATTTTTCCTTTGCATTTTTTAGTAATGAGGCACCTTGAAGTTGGTAAGATAAGAGTCTTTCCCCCACATATAGCATGCAGCACTAACAGCAAATATTTCTCAAAGTTCATATTTCCAAATCAGGATGTGACCCTCTAGGTACTTCAAGTCTGGACAAATCTAGGTACATATCTGCTGTTTACATTCCACATTTTATGTGTTTCTTCTAGTGTTACTCTCAGAAGAAAGAGTAAGATTAACCCCCAGCCCAACAATGCTTCTAGTCTCCCAGGGTGACCAGAGTCCAAACAGTGTCAGCAGACCTTCCATGGCCTCAAAGCATCCCTCTGCTCTTTTTTTCAGAACCTCCACTTTTTACCTTGCTTGCAGTCCTTGCCTCCAAAGCCCAGGGGGCATTCACAGCTGAAGGTGTTCCACTGGTTGACACATGTGCCACCGTTGTGACACGTGTTGCTGTCACAAACATTCTTTTTGGCTGAGCAGCCTAGAAGAAGAATATGAGACTGCACTGAAGAGGACAATGGCAGAAGAGCATTTCCCTTTTAATTCAAATAGACTGTGGCTGCTGCATTTTTCTCCCCAGCTTTCTACCTGCAGCAATCCCACCACACAGTAAACCTCTAATTCTTTTCCCCAGCCTTTCTCCCTATCCCTTAAATTCCTCATACCTGGCACAGTCCCATTGTTGGCAATAAAGTCAGCCATGTCCACTTCTCGATTATCAATCAGGAAGTCCCTCATGCAGCCTACAAAGTGTCGGTTCCGTACTGGGAAGCTTTCAGGCAGGTCAGGAACACCACCTAACAACAGTGGACCTGTGAGATCTAGGGACCTTGGAAAACAAAATGGAAGTTGCTTAGTAGAAGACAGTGCTCAAGGAAAGGAATGGCTAATTGAGAAAAAGTTGATGAAATTGTGGCTGGTACAATTGTGCTGTTTCAGGTTGACTGAATAACAGCAACAGAGTTATATATACTTTGAGACGGGGAGGACATGGAAGATCCAAACAATAGGGAACAAAGCATGGAGATTTTATGAAATCTGATTTTGGAAATAGGCTAATTAGTACTTGAATGGCCGACCATGAGAGAATACTAGAGCAGGACTAGAAAAGAATCCAGTCTAAAACTCTGGAGAGCCATAGGGAATCAGAGTTGATAATACTGTGCTCAATGGATGGTCTGATGCAGTAAATGTGTATTCTTATGTTCTAATAAAAGACATAATAGTTGTACAGCAAAAACTGGTGTTTCCCAAAATATAGCATTTACATGACCCTGAAGATCAGAGTTAAAATCCCACCTCAGCCATGGCCTTAGAAGGTGTGGGCGGGGAGCAATAGCTTGTTATCTAAGTAACAAAGAACATAATGGTTGTTGTGGGTTTTTCGGGCTCTTTGGCCGTGTTCTGAAGAACATAATGTCTGCTCACCATGCAGGATTCTCTACAACCGGGCCTCAGAAGCCCATACCAACACTCTCACTGTGGCCCATGAACTTTAGAGGCATCCCCTCCACTGATTAATAACCACTGTGTAGCCAGTTTGGCTTTAATTATGCCTCTTGTTTACTTATTTCTATACAGTTGACAAGTATAAAGAGTGCACATATATTCTCACTTCTTGGTGCCTGACTGTGTCCCTTGAGCTGAGCAAGAGTAGTTTCCTAGGATAGAACCAAACTTCAATGCCACTGAAGTGTCGCAGTCGTCAACTGTCACCACAGCTACTTTCTGGTCAGAGGGCCCTTGTGGAACACCAGACATCCCCATGATGGGCTACAAAGAAAAAAGGAGAATTCTTGTTCAGGGATAGAAAGAATACTCACTAAATCCCCCCCACTTCTCAACAATTTAGCCTGTTTCAACAGACATGATTCTTAGTGAAGAAATCTTTAGGACTCTGAAACTCCTCCTTAACTGACAGAAAGGGGGAAAGGCAGTTTCCCCCACCTCAGTGTCTCTCTCATTTGTGCAAAATGTCTTGATGTCCTGTCGCCTTTATGAAAAAATGTACAAACGCAGCAAGAATAGAAGGACTGGCTGATAGTTAAAAGAGACACAAATGATCCATCCAGAGCCTTACATTCTTAAATAAAGCAGGAGCCATCCTTGTTTTGGCCAATTTATGCAATTCATCAATTGCACAAATTATGCAACTCTGTGAAAAGCTTTGTGCAAAATTTCATTTTTGCTAATGTGAGAACTCGACTGAAAGCAGGAGGAAGTTCCTTATCATCCTTCTAGAGAGAAGAATAATGTAATTCCTCATGCAAAGACAAATAAATATTTACACCCTTGAAAGTTAAAAGAAATCTCAAAGGCAACTAATTTATGGCTGAAGCAGCACAAACAATTCAACGGTGAACAGCAGCATCCTCCCCATAAGTGGTGAAAACTGAAATGCTTTTGCCCAGCTTCCCTTGAGCTAGGATACCTCTTGCTGAGGAAAACTGGCTTTTAGCATGCACTATTAATCAGCGTCCTATGCATATGGCAAGATCCAGAAGAAGAGTGTGCAAATACCATTCCAGTTTTCTGAGAAAAGAACACATTGCACACCAGCTGGGCACTCTGGAACAGTGGTGAAGTGTGAGAGCCAAACGCTTCCAGAGCACTCCACACAGCTAAAATGCTGAGTGCTCAACAAGCAGAACGGTACAGGGAGAGCATTTTCCCTTTGGTGTTTCACCATATGTTTGTGTGTGAAGTGGTGATTCTGATAATGCATTAGAAATTGTAAGGACAAAGTAAGCAGCTGGAATTTGTTCTGGATTAATGAATGTACAATATAAGCGTGTGTGATGTTCATGCATGCACTCCAAAGAAGAACTGAGGTATCTCATCTCTACATTCCAGCGACTAATGCCCAGCTGTCTCCACTTATCTCATAGCAAAGGAAAGGTTTAGAAGGCTCCCTTTTAAAAAGAGAAACCTGAAATTCTTATGATGTCACCCTCTGGTGCGTGTGCACACGCACACCCACCCCACCCTTGTAAGACAAGCCATGACACAAGGCCTTGTAAGAAGGCATAACACAAGAGAGAGGTAACATTTTGCAAAATAGTAGACTTGTGATGAGCCTTTTATCTTAGGCAGAGTTTGCTTCAGTGTATTTTCATTTTACCATCTTGCTTCTTTATGTATTGTTCTCTTCTAAGCAGTACACCTTGTGAGGTTTGCACCTTTTTAAAAATATCAGTGATAGATATACACAAGGCTTCTGGGAAACACAATGCCCTTTTTTAGTAGATCCAGAGATCCACTAATTCAAGCTAGATGGACAGCTGCGGCAGGAGGAGTAGCATCGGTTACCTGCTGCACCCCATGACTCTGTATACACTAATAAAAATGTACGTATGTATAGTTGGTAGGGATCTTGGATTGTTTATACCAGAGCTGGACTAAATATAGCTCTGTAAAAGTTGTTGGACAACAACTTCCATGGGCTGTACCAGCACAACCAACGATGTGGAATGCTGGGATTACAATCCACAAGGCTGACAAAATCTCCCATTCCCACTCCCAAACTGCATAGCTGCTAGAAATGTTGTTACATTGTGATACACACACCTATCATGAGTAAAACAATAACAGCCCCTGCACCCTTCCAAAAGATGTATTTGTCTTGTTCTCCTGGTTTGGTTACTTCATTCAGCTCCAACAATGCTAGCCTGCTTCTTTAGTAAGACCTAGCTGAGAGGGATCATCCTAGAGAGATGACCAAAGAGAGAGAGAGAGAGAGAGAGAGAGAGAGAGAGATGACCAAAACATCAGCCTCCAATTGGAGTGGAATGGAGTGGAGAGGCACAGAACAGAATGAGACTGGAAAACCAGGGATTCTTGGAGAAGCAGTAGAGCCTGTGTTAGGACAGCTTAGCTATCCTATCGTTCTGATGCCTGAAGGGACTGCCTCAGCTTGGCTAAGACTGGAATAAGGCCTGGCAGTCCAATAACATCAGGAGTACCGCAATTTATACAAAACTTTCAAAATGGCCATATATTTGTACAAAGAACAAGATAACCAGTTAAAATTCATATTTTACACATGAAGAACAATGACCCACAAGCTTCCTTGTAAGTGAAAAAACAAAGACAGATCATATATACTGTATACTGTGTACAGTATTTACCTTATCATGTAGTTTAACCAGTGGTTTATATCTAAATGTCTATTTAGGCAGAAGTAGCAATTTCGGTGCCGTTATTAAGCCAAACCAAAAGGCATAAAATGTATGCTGGCTTTCAATATTTCCATCAGGCAAGAGATGCAAAAAGCATCAGCACCAGATAAGCCAAATGGGAGAATGTGCAGACAGCTCCTCTCTGTTACTTCTCAGAACATACAGATAACACGACTTCTAAGAGCAAAACTACACTTCCTCTAATTGTTCCTTTCTTATCTGGTTTTTGGTAACATTTTGGCTGATGAAGAGGTCTGGAGATCTTGAAAGGCTGCACACATTTTCCTGCCTTTTTGCTTGGGATAGAAAAGATATCTTGGAATAAATGAGCAAATGCATGGGGTGCCACATTAGGGGGATTATTAGGATGGTTGTCAGTTTTCTGTAAGGGTAGTGTGGCACTTTGGCTTAAAAGAGACCTGCTTTGAGGTGCTGTTCTGGACTGCCTCTCATCCTCCTTTGTGTTTTGCCACTGGGCCAATTCGTCCCTCCCTCATTGCTTGCAAGGGGGAAATGCAGGTCACTGGTGCCTTTTTGTGCAGAACTGGACTATAGAATTTGGAGAGCAATTCAAAGGCCATGGCAAGGAAACAGGACAGATCAAGACAAAGGGAGAGAAATGCAGTTGGTGGAGAAGGAGGGGGAGGGTGTGGTCATGGCAACAGGTCATGAAACAGCACCAAAGGACTGGCAGGCAGCCCAAAACGTCTCTCAGCCTTTAAGCAACTCCTTCCTGCATAACATATAAAAAGGGGGGATTGGGGGAGAGAGAATAACCCAGCTTAATTTTTGGAACACAACTCCCCCTCCCCACACACACACAGACACACACACATCAGGACCATTTACAGAAACTCCACAGAACCAGAGCACTTTTTATATTAAAAACCTGTATTTGGTAGCAAATTAGGAGAACATAGACAGTGCCATTTATGCATGGTGTGCATGAATATGAACTGTGGATTTCAGATACAAAATCCACTGGAGGATGTCTGGAAAAGAAGAGACATATGTCCCACTTAGATATAAAACAAAATAAAACACTACCAAGTAATGTTTAACTGTACCATAACAACATGATGTATCTGTATTCATATAAATATTTTATGCTCAGAAACAAGTTTCCAAGTATAAAAAAAGTACTCATGATTCTCCTTGGAGGCAATTCTTGCTGCAGGTAACTAGACAAAAAGCTCTTTACATTCCTGGGGTAAGGTTACATTAAAATTACCCTGAAATCTAAAGGCTCATAATCCTGAGAGACAAATTTATCCCTTCTTGTGACACAACCAGTTTTTTTAATACAATGGCTATGTCCTCAGGTAACCCACCACCAATGAAGGCACAAAGACACACTTTCTCTTCTTTCTTATAAACCAGTCTCCCCAAGTCTGATATCCTCCAGATGGACTGTTGGACAAGAATAGTAATCACCTCATCCTCCATTGGCCTGGGTGGTTGAAGATTAGGGGAGTTGTAGACAGTGCCACATCTAGATGGTATCAGGCTAGCCTAAACTATGCAGTCCACATTTATATTCATTATGTTATTTATTAATATTAATTCATTACATATCTACTTTTTGTTTCTTCCAGTGAGCCCAGAATTGTGTACATGACACTCTTCATTTCACTGTGTACTCACAATCTCCTGTAGGGTAAGTCAAGCTGACAGACTGTGGCTGACCAAAGGTCACTGAAGGTCATAAAAATTAGCTTTATGAATGAGTCAGAATTTGAACTCAAGTCCCCTGAGTACTACTAGTTCAGTAATCAAATCACTTCAGCTCATGGACTGAAATGAGGAAGATTCTTCAGTAAGACTTGCTTGAACTATACCTTTGCTACTTCTCAACTCATGCATATTCTGACTTTTAGACTCAAGGTGAAAGGCACCACTTTCTACCTTAGTTGGCCTCATTCCCCGGTTTGATTGTTTCCACTGGATGAGAGAAAAGGAGGAATAAAATTACCTGTGGCCTTATTCCCTTTTGCCTCCCCGTAAAGATGCACACAACTGAACCCCTTTGGCTGTACAACAACATTATATGTGCCAGTGTGCCCAGAGATGGTGTGTCACATTGCCTAAGAGCAAGAGCATGTGCTGCGGATACATCCAGAAATGCCCAAACAGCCGGCTCATACACAGAGGTAGACAGGTAGAACTGGGCTACCTGTAGCCAAACAATGCAACTACCAACTTTTTATGGATGAGGAGCAGGTAGGGGAAGCAGCATACTCCTTGTCATTATGAGGAAGCAGCCCATTGAAGGAAGGAAGGAAGGAAGCTAGCTAAGTTCTAGTGCATCAGAGCTTCTGCAGTTAGGATGAGGCAAGGCACCAGGGGGATCCTGCAGGCCCTCACATGTGTGGACATATGCTGACTTTTAATATGCGCTGCTTACTTCCATGCTACGAACAGAGTGTCCTCATCTGACAGAGGAGGAACTGAAGCCCTGTTATCTACAATAAACACAAAGGGTCATAAGCTTAGCACACTTTTAGTTCTCCTTCAAGATACCTGAAACAAAGCCCTTTTGTCAGCATTTTTTCAACCTGAGTGAGTTAACTGCGGCAAAGCAGAAGGAGCCCCAGATCACCAGACTGTTTGAATAAAAACCAGTGTGATTTCTCTCTCTACTCAACGTACACCACAGAGAGCACAGTTCTCACAAGTATACAATCTCCTCATTTCTTCTATTTCATTTTCAAGACATTTGTTCTAGATTGACTGTTTATTTATTTAAAATATATTTAACCTTTCTCCTTAAAAGGACCCAAGGTGATTTATGTCATTAAAAAACAATATTAAAAGCTATTAGAAGACCAGTTGCCTCAAGAGGCCCACTGTCTTAATTACCAAGGCAACTGCTGTTCTAGTGCTGTTAGACATGAAAAGGAAGGCCACAGGACTATATCCACAAATGATCCTGAGTAATGACTTTAAGTGGGTGTGTTGTGAAGTAATAAAACGCTGTGGAATGGTGGCAACACACCCACCCAGCCCAGGTTTTCAGCTAACTTTGTTTTGACAGGCTACACTAGTTACTAACTTTCCACTAGCAAGCTAGCCACTGGCAAGTGACGCAGATGGTATCCATCTCATTTTTAGCCTCTCATACAATGTGTGTCTTTGTAGGGCACTTGCCTCTTTACAACAGAACTGAGAGTTCTCTGGGCAGAAACCAGAGATGGTATATGGCACTGGCTGCAGGTATTGGGAAGCTGGCACCATTCCACACCAGCAAGCAGGTGGGAACTGTCTGTTGGCACAGAGGCTGTGTACTTGGGTGAAGTTCCCGGAGGCAGTCCAGCTCATTGGGAGAGACGCCTGTGTTCACAAACATTCCCAGGAGTGGGAAAGCCAACACCCCATCTCAGCCAAAGTGCTATCAAGTGGGAGCACGTAGCCAAACTCGCCTGGACTCCAGCGAGAAGCTCCAGCATGACTGCTTTGCACCACAGGCATGCAGAGCCATGTCTTGCTAGCCCTCATAAATTCAGTCAGATTGGTGGGGAGTGAGTCATGAATAAGTGTTAAGCATTAGGAGTATTAGCCACTAATGGTCAAACCATACATTTGAAACAGTACTTCATTAGATAAGGGATTCCTTATGTGTCAGAAGAAATCTGATAGTTATATCACAAACTTTTCACATCTCCTGCAGTTTGCTAATTATTTAGCTTTGCTTTGTATCTGATCACCAGGAGGTAAACATGGGTTTTGTTTACAAATGAGATTGCTCAGACACAAAGGTCTCCCAGAATCATATCTCTGGAATACTAACATGGTTTCGGCTTTTAATGATACACTGTCTGTAACACATAGGGTGAAATCCAGTAACAATCTGCAATCAGAGTAGGCCTATAGAATCAGTGGAACTTATGAAGGAGTTAACTCACCAAATCCCTGCCAATTTAATAGGCCTACTCTAATGGTGACTTACTGTTGGATTTCAGGTATAGTTTGAAATGGATTATCTTTTCTATTCTAGACTTCCTGCCCAGTTTTAGGTGGTAATTATTGTCTGTACCGTACTGACACATTACTCTAACCACTGAGAAAGTACCCTAAACTTTATATTCTGGCTGGTCAGCAAGAGTCCTCACGGAATGTTTGAAAGACCACTGCCTTGTCTGAGCACCACAAGGACATGGAAGTCATTGGAGAATCCATTCCATTGGCTTCTTGCCCAACCTAAAACATAGCAGTCCTGAGTTTGAACGTCAGTCTTCTCTATGACACTTCCTTACATCAAGTAGATCTGTCTGTAGTCAGGGCTCTTTATTCAGCTATTTGATGCTGGGTCCAGATCATCACGTACGGGCAACATCTCTCTATGCTAAGCTTCTTCTAGCTGCTTGCTGCTCTGATTCAGCATGATGCCTTTTGGAGAAGAGAATGGGAAGCCTACTGAGCCTACAAAATGAACAGGAACCCCCCAGGAGAGCAGGAGTTTCACAGACACAAATACACAGCAAGTGGGCACTGCAGGGGAGGGGCTCCTCTGAGCTCCCCCTGCTGTGGAGATTTAGACCTTTTAAATCCTGCCTCTCACTGCCTGGCAAGCTTCAGTAGCCACCTCCCCGACCACCACATCCATATCAGTGAGGGGGGCCCTGCCCCTCCCCCCGATGCCTCCCTTCACCCCCTGTGGCATGCCATTCCCCTGGGCAGCCCCTTTCAGGCCTGCGCTTATTAACCGAAGCAGGCAGCTGTTTGTGACAATTGCACCAGCTGCTCACCTCCCTCTTGCCCTCTGTCAGCAGCCTCCTCATTAAAGAGTGGCTTCTTGGGACTTTGTCATGCTGGGACTGCAAGGCCCACAAATCCGTGTGCTTGGGACACTATGAATGCTAATGGCTCGAAATCTTCAGGCGCCAAGAGGAACTGGGCATTTGGAGACAGCATGATTGCCATGATCAAAAGCTCCTGCCAGCCCTTGAATATTTCATGGCTGCAAAGCTACCCTCACCCATTAAAGCAGGCAGCGTCTCCAAACCATTAACTACAGCGATCACTATCTAGGACGCAGCATTTCTGGGATACCAATGAGAAAAGTTGTCATAAGATGAGCAGTCTTTTTTTTCCCCAAAGATCCAAGGCAGGCAACTGCTGATGTGCACAGGGCAATGCTATCAATGCATCTGTATTTTTTTTAGCAGAAGAAAATCTTACCTTGTTGTAGTAGTGCAGGTGGACAGTGTGCCACTGTCCATCACTCACACCCCCTGGGATGAATGGGGCTACTGTGCTTGTGGACTCTCCTAAGGAAGAGATGAGACACAGCTCAGAGGAGAAACCTGTGGAGTAGCCATCCTACAACCCTTTCCCACAAGGGCTTTGAAGAGGGAACGGAGAAGCTAATGAAGGTAGTATTAAAACAAGTACAGCACGGAACTGAGGTGTGGAACGAAAAGGCCTGGGGTGAAGGAGAGAAGGTGAGGGGTAAGAGGGAAAGGAAAAGAAATGTGGCTGACAAGGAACTGTTGATACTGCCAGCCAATAAACTAAGAGTGTCATATGAAGAAAGGATGCAGGGGGCTGCCACATAAACAGGCTGGACATCAGTCAATTGTACCTGCAGAGAAAGTAAGCTGAACCTGCTCCTGCACAATCTCCAGGGCTATGAAATCATGTCGTTCATTGAAGCGCCCATTGTAGAGAAGCAGCCCATCCCGTTCCTTAGTGGCAAACCTGCTCAACACAAGAGAAGGATAAAGAGAAGCATCACACAAAAAACCCTTCATCCCAAGATATGCATAGCAGAATGACAAAAGGATACGGTTAAGGTGGACAAAGGCATCTGAAAAAAATAAAGTTCCTTCTTCCCAAATACAAACATTGCAACTGTAGCTAATTTTCTTGTGTAGATGTGTGTGTGCATGCATACAGCTGCAGTATAGGAAGTGGGGAAAACCCCTTTTGATTTTTTCAGTCTCATATAGAACTATTTATAAGATAAACTGAACAGTATCCTTGGCAACCATACATCAAGAAACCATTTTTCTCTACAAACTTCCACACATGTGGATGTTCCCAGGCTCTGGAATTTCCTTCAAAGAGAGACCAGAGCACCCCTTTTTCTATTTTTCCACTGATAAGACAAAGATGGTTCCATTCAGACAGGCTTTCACAATTAGCTACTTGTTAATACAAAGGCTTTTAACAGATCTGTGCATGATACTTTGAAGAGAGATTGGAATGTTTTAAATTTGCTTTTAATTAAAAATATTTTAATATATTAGTTATTTTAACATGATAACCATTTACCATTCATTTTTATTTATCCCTGTTTCTTTAATCCATATTAATATGCATCTAAATATGGTTGTGAGCTGCCTTGGGTGAGCAAAACAACCAAATAAATAAAATAAAATCAATCAGTCAATCGACCAATCAATCAATCAATCAATCAACATAGAGGCAGGTTACAGGCCATTGTGCATTTTTGCTTTGTTTATTACATCAAGGTCCTTCAGTATGCAGGAGGCAGCATACATGGCCCTCTTTCTCTTCACTTCATTTTTAACAGCAGTCCAGTAAGGCAGGTCAGGTTGAGAAAGAGCGCAAAGTCACTCAGTGTTTTGGCTCAGCAGAGACATGTACTGTATGTGGATTTCCAAAGTCCCAGTTCAACACTCTGAGACCATGTATCTACACTATAGAGAAAACTGTGACAAACAACATGTGGTATTCACACCATTTCCTACATGGAATTTTTGTGGAGGAAATCTGTCCTGCATGAAGTCACTCCAGTGCTGTGCCATTTGTTGCTAGGTTGCTGTGATTCTCCCAAGCAAGCAGGCCTAGCCTAACAAAGACATTCCTTTATGATTAGGTGTGCCCTTCCCTCACACAAAGAAGCACCCAAGTAGGCTAACTCAGCTGTGATTCATCCTGGCACCCTTCCCCCAGTTCAACCCCTCCATTCATTAATTTTGGCTGCATGTGGCTCTGTGTGTAAACAGAAATAGGAACAAGAGCACCGGTAAGTGCAAAGACTGATCATAGAAAAGCAGCCCTACCACTGTTAGTGGTAAGCTCCAGCAGGCTCTACTAATCAATCAGCAAGAATGGAGTGTGCACATTCCAAATGGCTAGTGCAGGTGAATGAAAAATGACTATACAGAATGACAAAGACCTCATCAAGACCTCCAAAATATAAGCGCAAGATTACAGACTTGCATATCGTAGCTGGGATTAAGAGGAGGACTACTAAACTAGAGCCAAGCTAGAAGTGTCAAAACAAAGTACTGTATACAAACATGAACTCGACAGATCCATAGACTTTAAAAAGAAGGAAAGAAGCATAAAAAAGTTCCAGTCAAAAGAAGCACACATGCAGTTGTCTTTGTGCCAACAAAATTGTGACAGCACAGTGGAACTGGTGCTGGGGTTGTTGGAAGTAGGAGGAGGATGTAGCTAGAGGTTGGCCTTTGGCTGGGCAATGTGTCCCCAACTCCCAGTCCCAGGAACTGGTCCACTCCCAATGTAGACCAAAACAGTGGGGATATATCTGGAGGCAGGATCTAGGGCTAGCACCACACGCAGTTATCAGAATCTAACTGAAGGATAACAGAATGATGTATTAATTCTCCGTAGTCAGAACATTAGGGCACCTTTCCTTAAGCTTTCTAACAATCCTCTTGTGAAGTAAAGACAGTCTGGTTGCTGTATTCTTGCTACGAAGCTTCATACCACCAGACCAGGAATGGAGAGAGGTGGAAAGGAAACATAGGGATTCAGCAGCGCTGATAAACAAGCATTCCGATTCACAGGTTGCCAATCATCCTATCCTGTCCGTGGAAAAAATATTTAATGGAATGATATCACTTTCCATTTTGGAACAATGAGATATTTCATCCTGTCCAAAAACTATATTTGAACTGAATCAAACTGAACTGAACTGACTGCCAAAACTTCGGTTACAAGCGACAGGAAGTGAATAGTTGCATGTTTTGCCCACTACTGCCCAGTACCATTCCACCAAAACAGATTTCCTCATTGTCACCTATGCTAGTCTTTCCTGGACTGTACCATTTCAGGAAGAAAATGAAAGAGACACATACAGAATGTGTCTATTGGTTAAAAATAAATAAATACTCCCTCCCATCTCTTGAAATAATGGATTCCCTTATGAAAGAATGAAACTTTTATGTTTTGTTTTGTTATAAAAGTGTACGCATATCCTCCAAAGCAGTAGTATGGTTAATTGTTGGAACAATACCCTTAAATCAGTTCTGAGTCACATGCAAGAGATTAGAGTTGGGGACGAATATAAAAACGGATTGCTTTTTCCAATGAATATAGCTGATTCGTTAAATATTCATCGATCCATATTTGAGGGTTTCAGAGACCCCACGAATAAGAAAGGGACAAATATTTACCCATTTTTATTTGCCCTTCAGTCACCCTTTTTACACACCATGGCTGCGAAGGCCTGATGGACACCTGGCAGCAGCTATTAAGGTAAGGGGATGTCGGTAGGAGTGGGGTGGGGGCTAAGGTAGGGAAAAGAAGGGTGTGTGGAGGTAGGCTGTTGGGGTGGCTGGCTGTGTGTGGGGAGTGGCTTCCTATCAGTTTCTGATCAGTTGATTGGTGCCAGTAGGCAGAATGGGCTTCTGTGACATGTGGTAAACTCTCCTGGGAGCACCCAATTTGTGGGTGAATAACTCGGATGTCTGATATCCAATCTTCACCAAAGTTGGCAGGTTGGGGAAAGACATAGGAATCTCCGTTGTGATTCTGGAGTATTTACGTACCGGGGGGAGCTTTCCTGGGGGGTCCTCTTTGTGACTATATAACTCAGGGGTCCATGATCCAATGTTCACCAAACTTTGAGGAGTTGTAGAAAAGTGTCTGAGGAACCTTCCCTGCAAATCTGGGGTCTCTAAGTCATCTGGGGCCAGTCCTTTAGCCATTTAAAGTGCAGATGAACCAATAGATCAATTTGATGATTCTTTGAAGAATATTCGTATATTTGTATTCATTGATACGTTAACCTTGATGAATAACGGATCAAAATGAATCACCATTTTTTATTTGTCCCCCTCTCTAGAAGAGATACATCTTCCTAACCATTTCAACTGAACTAATGGCTGATTTACTGGGGCATCCAGTTCCGCAGGTGGATTGACAAGCTATTCAAGATGCTCCTTATCAGGACTGCAAAGTGTGCTCTGAGACCCCATCTGAGCAAAAGAGCAGGCTTTTCCCTCCCTGGTGATTCTACTCTATATTGCTCTCCTGGGATGACTCATTATAGACTGTCAGCACTTGGCAAGCCAGCTCTCCCTCCCTCCATCCCCACTCCACCCACCCCCACCAAATCAGTATGTGACAAGTATACAGAGCAAATTGGGAGCTCCAAGCAACCCCCTTGGCTGGGACAAAGAGACCTTGGCTGGCTGGTTCCTTTGTGCTGCATGGACAATAAGTTTGGAAGCAGGAAGATCATGTGATGGGCAAGGGCAGAAAATGGGGGAAGGGCTCTAAAATCTCATCACAGTGACCATGCTGAGTGGTGGATGTTGGGAGCTATATTGCAAAAAGGAACTTTCTCAAGCTCTGCAAAATATCCTATGCATACAGGAAAGGGAAAAGGGAAAATAATAAGAACTGGCACCCGAATATTAGCATTGGAGTATATTCTCTGTTAGAGAAAACTTTCTGGCTTAAAATGGTTAATACAATAAGGTAACTATGCAGAGGAAGACTGTCACCAGTGTCCCCACCTAGCATTAGATGTCTAGAAAGGTTAAAGGGGCCAAGGCCAGGAAGGTGAGCAATAGATATGCCCCAAAGGCAACTCTGCACAAGCTCACTTTTATCATGAAGTTACAAGTGCAGAAAAAGGCTGGGATAAAACAAAAGCAGGGTAGCCATGTTGGCCCACACCAAAATCCAAAATCCATACTGGGATTATACTTTTATGAGGCCTAAGAACAAGGTACACAGACAAACACCAGCAAGATAATTCATACTATGGTACTGTCAATTACTATGTATGGATGTTAAATCTACATGAAGAAGAAAGCTGACAGGAAAAAAAAAGATATTCATCCAAAATATGGTGTTGAAGAAGAGCTTTACACATACCATGGACTGCAGGAGCCTATGGCTTCCAGATCAAATCAAGTCTGAGCTGTCATTAGGGGCTAGAATGACTAAGGAGAGAAAATTGTATTTTGGATATATCTTGAGAAGACAAGACTTTCTGGGAAAGACTAATGTTAGGAAAAATTGGAGACAGTAGAAAGCAAGACCTAGTATGGGATGGGTCAATTCAATAAAGGAGGCCACAGCCCTTAGCGTGCAAGAGTGGCTATTAGTGGTAGAAACTTCTAGAGGTAATTAATTCATAAGGTGACTATAAGATGGAAATCACCTCATATAACTACAGTAGAAAATAACCCCCTCTCTCTTTCTCAAATACACATGTCATCAGTCAACTCTTGAGGCTCATTGCACTGTTTGTGAAACAGACTCTCCCTATTCTTCCATTTTCCTTCCTATGTATGGGTGCTTCTGTCCTCCACTCTTTCATCAAGACTGCACCCTAGCTCCTTTGATATGCCTGCACATGTTAATTTATGCCCTCTTCACTACCATCAATTCCGGCATATAAAGTCATTGTATTCTCAGTTTTTCTTCTTCTTTCAGGCATGCATATTTCTATGGGAGAAAGAATGCCTGGCTATCTCCCAGGTTCACCTTTTGACAAAGATACTATCATTTCTGTGATGCAGAACTGTTTAGAATGATAGTACAGTACTCAAAAAGATTTATATTTACGTGGACCACCTGAAGACCTCTGTACAATTCAAAGCACACAAATAGCTCAGTCATACATATCTATGTATAGAAATAATCTTCAGCACTAGCACAGTCAAAAGCAGGTTGGTAGAATGAAAGTCAAAGGCCACAGGCATATGGTTATATGAGTAAATTCTTGTACAAACTGGGATGGGGGGAGGGCAGAGGATGAACAATGTACTGGGATATGCATTCTAAGATGGTGGTGTCTGTTAACACATCCCATACTATGAACAGGATGTATATTCTGACATGCTGATGGATGTATACATTTAGGGCATGTTGTCAACTGTAGCTCTATACCTGAACTGGACCAAAGGATACATGGGGGAACCTTAAAGAAGCAACTACTTTCCCATTTTTACTTGAACAACTTTTCTCTGATGAGAATGAAGCTGAAGGCAAGACAAACTTTTTTTTTTATTAATAACTCTCAGTTCTAGGAATCTGGTAAATGTCTTCAGGATTACCTTGGCGATATTTTAGTACAGCAGTCAGACACAGCAGTAGAATGAACTTCACCCTACAATGAACTAGTAAAATTTTCTTATTCCTCCTCATAGACTTTGGATGTGTACTCTGTCTTGAAGTTAGTTTCCCTGAAACAATTGTTGAAGTTCAGATTCAGCGGTGTTATTTTCTTGCCACTCTTCCTTCCTACTTTCCTTCCCCAGCCCGCCCAAGAGAGGACATACAAGCCATGGCTGCCTCCTAGAAACTCCTGAGGTAAAGGAATTTTCAAGGAGACAAGAGACAGATTCAGTAGAAAAACAGCCTATATGTAGGTGGAGAAAAGATCTTCTGATATAGCTCTTTGGAATTCTTTTGTGTTTTGTTGGTTCTGCCACCTAATTGAAATAACTAATAAAATTAAGGTGGTCTACACTGAAGAGCTAAATTAAGAAAAAAGGAATTAATGGCTGCTTGAAGAAGAAGAGTATAATTTTCCCAATGCAGGGCAGTAACTACAGTGGAACTACTGGGGATTGCCCTAAGAAACCAAAATCTAGAGGTGAAACTACCGGTGAATGTAAGGAAAATAAATGGCAACACCTCCTGCCCTAATCACTCTTCCCCCCCCCCTTTTCTGGAAGCATAACATTCTCCTTTTTGGGGGAGACATCATATTCAGCATCTCCTTCCTCATGGGGGACTCACTCCCATGCCTCACACTGAAATTGGTGGGAGATGGGGCTGTTTGCCCTAGTACCAACATGGCTAGCTATAGCTCTGCCTCAATGTGTAGGATATTATAGCAAACCAACAGGGTGCTTCAAAATGCTTTTCTATCTTTACTCATGGTTTGTGAAAAATATTTATTATTTGTTTTCATAGGCTAAAATCCTGTTACTTATCATAGCAAGTTGCACTAGAATAGGTACATTGAATTAGTGATCATTTGGTGAGTTAATTCCTCCTTAAGATCCATTGATTAAAATGGGCCACCTCTAGTTGCAACTTACTACACTAAAGTAAGTTGCAGCTCAAGTAGGCTCATTTGAATCAATGGAACTTATAGAGGAGTTCATTGACCAAATAGCCACTGATTCAATGGACCTGCTTGAGTGCAGCTTACTACTCTGAGTAAAATATTTGGCCATAATTTTAAGTAAGGTAAGAATTACCTTACCTCCAAAGATGCTTGCCACAGAGACTGGCAAAACGTTAGGAAGAAAAACCTTCAGAACACAGCCAAACAGTCCAAAAAACCCACAAGAACCAAGGTAAGAAATTCTTTAAAGAGAACATTTTAACATTCGCTTTAGTTTGGGGGGGGGGAGAGAGAGTTTTGTAGCAATCAGGGCGTCTCAGCTACTAAGTAACACATTTATTCATGTATTCATTCATCTACTCACTCACTCACTCATTCATGCATTCATTCATTCTTTACAACACTGCAGAATAAACAAGAGGAAGATCCGGCCACACCGCTAGGCAACGTAAGGGTATTGCCTCAGAAGGCAGGTACAAGAGGACAATAGCCTCTGGCTATTTCTTTCACACACCTGTGCATGGCACACCAGCTGTGCTGGGCACCCCAAACTAGTTGCTGCCTCATGTCTAGCAACAGGTGTTATCCTATCGCAAGCCAAGAAGTCGTTTCCAACTGCCACCCCAGCTAGCATTGTATGTGGAACGGAAAGAGGGTTTCGTTCTTTCCTTTGCTTCAGTCAGCAAAATATTTTTTGTGAGCCTTGAAGGAAGGGGACAAATTTGTTTCTGCGTTATTAGTTCTATCCGAGAGAATGACAATAGGAGTTCAAACATCTGGCCCACAGACACAGGGGTATGTTGTTCTGAGGGAGAAAACCGAGACAGAAGGAAATGCTATGTTCTCAATTTAAAAAAGAAGTTATTCTCCATTGACATTTAACCACTGATACTTTTGCAAAAGGTATCACTGGAAAAGAATATCTCATCAAGTATAAGCATCCATTAAAAGGGACAAAGACCAAGATCATCCATACTCTTACATTACTGATCACTATGTATGGGCAGTGAAGAAGGTTGAGAGGGGGGAAATGATTTGTTTTAAATATGGTGCTAGAGAAGAGATGTTCATATACCCTGAACCACCAGAAAGATGATGAAGTGGGTCCGAGAGCAAATCAAGCCTGAACTACCTCTGGAAACCCTAAGCATGGCTGTTAAAGACAAGATATCTTGAAGAGCACATTCATAGAGTCGCCATAAGTACATAGGAGGCTTGATGGCATGTAACAACAACCTTTGCACTAAGAGTAGTAGTAAATCATGATGTAGTAGCTGGAGTGATGGACTAGAACTCAGGAGATCTAGGTCTGAATCCACAGAATCCACAGAAATTCACCGAGGAGGTGACACTGGTAAACGTTTTGTTATATGCCTTCAAGTTGGAACTGATTGACAGTGACCCTAATAGGGCTTTCAAATTATGCAAAAATATTTAAAGAGTAGTTTTACCAGTTCAACCAGTCCCATGAGTTTCCATGGCTAAGGGGAGATTCAAATCTAGCAGTCCTGAGATCATCGCTCAATCCATTTCATCATAACTGCTGGAAATCTCCAGCTTATCCCACTGGTAAAACCACTCCTTAAATATCTCATGTGCCTTGAAAACCCTTTAGAGCTGCCATAGGTTGGAAGTGACTTGAAAGCACATAATAGGGATGGGATTTTCAGAATTCATGGACTACATCCCACAGAAGTCTGCAGGAATTCCTCAGCCACACTTTTGAGGGCATTAATCAAGAAATCAAAGTCCTGAGAGATGTTTTACAGCTAATGAATTCAGACTCTAGAAGCTATTTTTTGTCCAGTGAAGAAGACAGAGGAAATAGGTAGCTAAACACTGTGAAAGCTATAAGGGACTATGGATCTGGCATGTGGTTTTCAGAGGCTTCCTGAGCAAAGCCTAATGGCTGGGGCTTATTGGCACACCCACAAATTTCCTGCAACTCTCACTGAGCAAAGCCCTGCCCACTTATTTCCCCACTCTTCTCCACAGGATGAAAATGGCTGCTAAAGTCTGAGTTTGGCAGTATGGATAAAAATCAATCATTTTTGACAATCAAGTTGATTTAAATCATGGTTTAAATTTTGTAATGATTTTTTAAATTTAAATTGTCAAAATATTCTGGTTTTTAAATTTAAACCATGATTTAAATCGGTTCATTTTTATTTTGTTTGGTTTAAATCAAAATCACTCTGAAATTAAGTAGCTGTAAGAAGTTGAAAACACATGTTAGGCTCTGATTTCTTGATTAAGGTGCCAAGAAATTATGCCAGAGGAATTCCTGTAGACTTCAGGGGGCTGTAGTCCACTAATTTCAAAAATCCCATACACAGCATATAAACTACACCTTTGCAATACACACCCCATTTTTGTGGCACTGCAAATCCAATTTTTACTTCAAAGATGAAGGAACTAAGATGGAAAAGCTGAAAAATATTATTCCTTGAGATTGATCAATTTGCGATTGCAAACCGCCCAGCATGCTGTGAGTCACAGTCGGCATCTAATTCCTGCCAATTAATTTACAGATTTTCCCTGACTTGTCACTTGAAACACAAACACTTCTAACTTTTCAGCTTCAGTCCAGAAACATTAAGCAAAGATTGGGGGGGGCATTTAATATTATTAATTTCCTATCAAAGCAGAATTGTTTCTATGTATACTCAAGTCTAATAAAGTACAAACTGGGAAATTCCAGCTGCAATGTTGTTTCTATCTCCCATGATCTCATTCAGCTAATCCAAGTTACTCCAATTTTCCCCAACCTGTAGTCCTTGAGATATGTTGGAATATCCTATTTGGGGATGATGAGGATTGTAGTCAAACATCCCAAGAGTATCACGGTGGAGGAAGCTGAGCTTTTCTCTCTAAGCTTACTATCTATAATACAGGAATATTAAGATTTGCTTATCTTATAGAGGTGTAAGAGGATTATGTTAAGAAAACATGAAGCATTTTGAACACTGAAAAGGGCAAATTACTATGACTGCCGAAACAGATTCTAAGTTTAAACTATAATAACTATATTTAATTTCTGAATGCATTCCCTGTTGCTTTGGCTTTATATCCGGACCTTTAATTTTAGGCTCTTTTTGTTGCAGCTGTTGTTTGTGACTTTTATTATGCATCAGCTATGTGTATGTCTATTTTCACCTTCCAAAACGGGCAGAATTTTTTTCTAATTGGGAGAAAGAACTGTAGCACAGGTATCCTGTCTCATAGTTCAGGGGGCAGGAGAGATTTCTGAAGGAGGCTAAAGAGATACACACGGGCACTCTAACAGGCATATCCTGTCTTAGGGTCTCTTTTTCACCAGGCTAAGTACTTACGTGAGGGTGATGGTGAAATGGAAGCGCTGACGCAGCCCTTTGAAAGTGAGGAAGGAGTGGGCTGGGAAGCTGCGGGTACTCATCTGGCAGTAGGGTTTCTCGTAGTCTCCTGATAGGCAGTCACACTTGAATCCACCCACCAGAAGGTTGACACAGGTGCCACCATTCTTGCAAACCCCAGGGGTGCAGCGGCCCAGGCGGGAATTCACTTCGCAGTTCTCTCCTGGGACAGAATGTAGAGAACAGCCATGAACATCTCCCCTTCAAAAAGTCACATTACAGATATTGATTACAAAAGAGTTTTCTGTGCAAAGTGTATGGAGACAATAGCACTTACATTCCCAAGGTCTATTTGTAATCAGTTCAAATCATCTCCAAGTCAAATAAATGTGAATCAGAAATGAAACTGTGGGTCAAAATTCAGTGGCTCCACGATATGTCAAATACAACTAAAGCTGCATCTATTCTCATGCAGTTCAGAGACTGGTGAAAGTGAACTGAGTTGTAGTCTGTTCAGCGTTGATTTACTGACAAGTTGATCACACACAGAGAAGAAATAAAATAGCTCCTTTGACACCTGCATACTTAGCACACGGCATGCAACACACATACCAAACTTTTCCGATAGGATAATAGGAGATTACCTTAAATCCATAATACTGGGGAAGGTGGTCAAGCCAACTATCTCCCACTTGCTTAGTTTCTAAATCTTTCCCTTTAGTAATACTCTGGACCATCAGAGGGCAGCACCAGAAACATCTTCCAAGGGTCTGTAGTGCTTCCAGGGCATTTAAGCATAGCACTTGGCAACAAAGATGGATAATGACATACTAAGATCCTGACGCCCAGAAGAAGCTGAGGACACTTCTCTCACAAAAGCTAACAGAGTTCAAGGAAGATGCTCCCTGGCCTCATCATCACATAAGCAACCTGCCACATCTTCATGCCCATTGGGTTAGACTGAAGTGATCAGATAACCAGATCATTACATATTTTCTTCAGGGATTTCCTTAAGTGTTGAGAAATGTTAATTCCTCATAGTATTAGCTTTCATTTCAGCCAACTTTGTTTTAAGATGGGTTACTAGGGAGTAAACACAGATTTAATGTACAAGTCAGACTGTTTTGCCCTCAGCATCTACATGTGACTCAATGTGTTGTCCAGTTTGACCTGTGGCATGATGATATCTGCAAAATTGAGAAGCTTCCACACCTGCAGTCCTATGGAGAATGGAGAGCATTTGTTTTTTATAGAAAGACCAAGCATAATATGTCTTTTTCAGCCTTCCTCATCTTGTACCTTCAGAAGACCTATAGTTTCCATCGTGCCCAGATAGCATGATAAGAGGCCATGCTGGCTGGGAATAGGAGTGCCCCAGAACAAAATACTTGGAGCACACCAGGTTGAAGTCCTGAGCTGTGCTTTTAGAGACAGAATGAGAAAGAAGGGATCATATATAGTGAGAACTACCAAAGACATTGATCAAACCTTTCAACTGCTGGAAGTAAAAATCAGAGGGCCAACTGCTTTAGATTCACAATAAACATGTTTGTGGGATAATGAAAAATAACAGTATGACCATGTGATATTCTTCTGTTCAACTGCTCTGTCAGTCAAAGACTTTGTTGGTGAATTATGAAAAAGAAGCTCCAGAACATGAACATGCTCTCAAATATTCATTTATGGTGCAGATCAACAAAAGTAGCAATGTTAGATCAGAAGAATAACATCTAAGAATCTGGATATCAACATAATGACTATAAACAGCACTGCAACAAAACACTGTGGCATATTCAGTGTTTTAGCTGGACAGATATCTAGCTAACTAGCCATGTCTTCTTTCAGCATATGCCATTTCATCCCCCATTACCCTTCCAATGTCCATTCCCCCCACCTCCCCACCAAACAGTCCCCATTCTGTGGATACTCTGCATGCTCAGTTGTCATTATTTTGGGTTTATTTCCTTCTCGTGCTAAGATTTTCTTTCTCAAACTTTTTTTTCTGCTGCAAAGCTGAGAACCTCCTACCACGTGCCAATACCTTCCTCTTCTTTCTCAATAGCTCCATTCTGGCTCACCAAACATAACTCATAATTTCATGGCCCTAACTGGTACTCACTAATGGTCTCCCAGTTCTAATTTTGTCCCAAACTACCTAACTGGTATACTATTCATAAGAATCCAGGCAGCAATTTGGACACGACTGACAATTTACTTTTGCCAGCTACATCATTTCCCTTCTGCTGGTGTAATAACATAATTAATAAAATAAATATATTTCTAGGCATAATACTCCTGTCACGGCTGCCATTAAAGCCTACTTTGTTCAAAGAAACCTGGACTAGAGATGTCTATAAGAAAAAAAATCTATACTACTCAAAATCTCATCCTAATAAGTGTGCATTACCACTTATTGTCTCTTACAAGTCTCTATTTTTAGTTTCTTCTTCTTCTTTTTTAGTTCTGCTAGTAAAATAACATATGCAGGCCTCCCAGGAAAAAGGCATCACAGATTAGAGCTGTGCACTAGATTTTTATAAATGCTGAACTACTAACCAAATTATATCTGTTTGTGCCAGTCAAGATCTGCCACAAACTGGAATAAAGAGCCATATTAAAATACAAGGAAAGAGATTGGTATATGAAGCAGCAGTTTATATTAAAATACAAGGAAAGAGATTGGTATCTGAAGCAGCAGTTATAGTGTTGTCCCATACCCTCAACCCCCAATCAGCAGATGCCTGCTCTAAAATTAGCAGAACTGACTAGTTAGCAGTAGCTGAAATACACACCAAAAAAGAGTGAAAAACTTTGGAGATGTCTGGTTATTCACATGCAAAAAGATGTATGGCTGCAATTTGTCATGCTCAATGCTCATTTTAAGGTCTACTATATCTCTCAAATTCATGGTGCTATGGCTCTCCCACCAAAAGGTACAGCTGTTTGTGTTTCTCTGTTCAAGAGAAAGGGGGCACACATATTTGAAAAGGCATAAATACCAGCATAGAAATGGAGATGGACTGGCCTGGAGGATTGCCCCAGAGGTCACAGATCCAACTGGATCCTGATCTGTATACTGCCATTTGAATGCAGATTGGATCAGAGAGCTAATTGTTGTTGTTTAGTCGTTAAGTCATGTCGGACTCTTCGTGACCCCATGGACCAGAACATGCCAGGCCCTCCTGTCTTCCACTGCCTCCTGGAGTTAGGTCAAATTCATGCTGGTAGTTTCAATGACACTGACCAACCATCTCGTCCTCTCTCGTCCCCTTCTCCTCTTGCCTTCACACTTTCCCAACATCAAAGTACATAGCCCTATTAAAGAGCAACTGTTACCAGGAGCAGGATATTGGTTTTCACAAAAAGCTCTAGTTTTAAATAGTATGTGAGAGTGGCTAATACATCACTTTTGGCTAAAATCCTGTTGGAATTTTACTGTTTACTTTCTGCTGGAAGAGAGAACACTCCTTATTTCTATCACCTTCAAGTACTAGGGGGTCTTTGAGACAATACTAAAAATAATAAAATCTATATAATAGAACACTTGATGATCCATGGGGTCACTTTTAGCTCTGCAGTTCCAAGGTTGTTGCTGTTGTCAAACTTAACAGTTAACACCACTCATATCAGTTTGCACTGTATTCACGCATACCTAGGATTTTGCATCAAAGCAGAAAAAATTTAACATACAGATGAAGCCTATTCTAGAAACACAATATAATTTCACATATCACTTCTGTACATGATGCATATATGTATGCTATATGTCATCAAGATGTTACCAACTTTTGGAATCCCTAACAATTAATGACCTCCAGATGGTCCTATGATTCACAACACTACTCACATCTTGGAGACTGAAATCCATAGCTTCCTTCACTGAATCACTCCATATTAACTGTTCCTCTTTTCTACTACCTTCTACTTTTCCTAACATTATTGTTCTCCACAGAAAACTGTCTTCTCATCTGTCCCAAGGATAATAGTGTCCATTTAGTTGGTTTAACTTCTATTGAGAGTACAGGCTTAATTTGACCTAGAAGCCACTTCTTTGTCTTTCTAGCAGTTCACAATGTTTAAAAAACCTTCTTGTAAAATTCTCTCACTAAACTACACTTCGGACAAATCCATCCCCCCCGGTCAGTTTTCTTCATTGTTCAACTTTTGCTCCTATACACAGTGACACATCCTTATTCTTAAGGATCTTTTCTTTCATGACTTCCCTTCCAAATCTTAATTTCAATTTGATTTCTTGGCTACAGGTTTCATTTTGGTTAAGGAATGAACTAAAGTATAGAAAATATTTAACAACTTTGATTTCTTATTTTTTCACACTAACACCATACAGGTACCCAATGTGGTAAGGGTAGAGTGACAGACAAGGAATCAGGAGACCAAATCTCCACTTAGCCATGGAAACTCATGGAAGAAGGATGGAACAGGTAAAACCATTCCTTAAACATCTCACCTCGAATGGGTGACTAGGGGTAACTATTAATCAGATACGACGTGATGGCACATAACCCCTCATCGTAGAGTATGTTATGCAATTCTTCTGTAGTCACTATTTCATGTTCTTAATGTTCAGTTGTAGTCCTGCTTTTGCACTTTCTTCTTTAACTTTCAACAACAGTCATTTCAAATCATCATTATTTTCTGACAATAATATGCTGCCATCTTCATATCTTGAATTATTTATGTTTATTTCTCCAGCGTTCACTCCTCCTTCATAATCTAATCTAGTTTTCTGTATGGTATGTTGTTCATACACATTAACTTGGTAGTAAGACAGAACATACCTTTGTCTGATACATTTACCAATTAGAAATCATTCTGTTTCTCCATATTATGTCCTAACAGTAGTCCCTTGTCCAGAGTACAGATTATGCATCTGGACAATCAATCTGTGACACATCCATTTCTTTTAAAACAATAACTTTTTGTAGTGTACATAGTCAAAAGATAAAGCACAATGTGTACATATATAGTCCCTTGTCCAGAGTACAGATTATGCACCTGGACAATCATAATCTGTGATACATCCATTTCTTTTAAAACAATCAATAACTTTTTGTAATGCACATAGTCAAAAGATTTACTGTAATATATAAAGCACAATGTGTACATATACAGTATGTACACATATTATGCACATATATTATTTACATATTCATAAAATAAATGAGTATGTACAATGTACTATGCAGGTTACACGTAAAATGC